GCTATCGGGATGTTAAGAGCATTCCATGGAATATAACAACAAGTGTATCTCGAGCCGGTTTCTCAAACTTACCTACCCCACCTTTAATTGTAGTGAAAAATTGAGTTTTAGGAATTCTTGCATTGATTTTATTTTATAGGAAACTATTTTAATTAATCAACTTATTAATCCTAATTGTTGTCATTTTCTATTAACTGCAGAGTTTTGATAATCAATTTTAATGTATATTCCCTATGCGTGTCCCTCCAGGATAAAGCAAGTTTCCGCCAAACCGCGGAAGGAGTACATTCCCAAACCCCGGACGACTCTGGAGCTGCTGCCGCCCACAGAGAGCCTCAACGGGGGGATAAACTCTGCCAAATCCCCCGGGAGATCACCAGGTACAAAACAATATCACGGTCACATGACTTCACGTCACCACCGCTAAGCTAAAGGAGGCTAATGTTGGGCTATAAAGGAACTACAGCACGGTCACATGACTTCTTGTCACCACCGCTAAGCTAAAGGAGGCTAATGTTGGACTATAAAGGAACTACAGCACGGTCACATGACTTCACGTCACCACCGCTAAGCTAAAGGTGGCTAATGTTGGGCTATAAAGGAACTACAGCACGGTCACATGACTTCACGTCACCACCGCTAAGCTAAAGGAGGCTAATGTTGGGCTATAAAGGAACTACAGCACGGTCACATGACTTCACGTCACCACCGCTAAGCTAAAGGAGGCTAATGTTGGCTTTGATGACCTTTAGTCGTCTCATAGACACTCGTTAGGGAGTGCTGTTTATAAATCCACCAGTGGGGTATTTACTGATCAAATCTCTCTAATATGTTTGTTTTTCAGCCCCGTTGGACCAGCCCTGCTGCCGAGCGCTGTACGACTTTGAGCCGGAGAACGAAGGCGAACTTGGTTTCAAAGAAGGCGACGTGATCACCCTGACCAATCAGATCGACGACAACTGGTACGAGGGGATGATCAACGGCCAATCGGGCTTCTTCCCCATCAACTACGTGGATATCCTGGTGCCACTGCCCCATTAGGACCCCGAAATCCTCCCAGTATGAATCCAGTATTTACATAAACAACAATCCTTCTACTCCTTCTTCTTCTTCTTCTTCTTCTTCTTCTTCTGTGCTTCTGTGCTTTCACAAAACGGACCGAGAGGAAGAATTTGGGCGGGATTCGATGCAGAAGAGAAGTAGAAACGAGGGATTTAAATGGACGCTCATGATGTCGCCGGGCAGCAGTGGATACTAAAGAGGCTTTGCAGACTTACCGGGTAAATGTGCATGTGTGTGTCTGTATGTGAGCTGTTATCTACTCTATATGACCGAGAAAGCACAAAGTCCGATAATCTGCAACGCTGTCTTCTTCTTGCTGTCTTTTCTACCTTGACTTGCCTTCCTGTGATTGTCTTAAGCATCTTTCAGGGTCTTCCCCACCTTCTATCGCTCTATTTCCCTTCCTTTGGCTAGCCTCTCAGCATGGCTCCATAGTGTATACAGCGTTTTGACTATATCTCTTGATCCTGCCTTTCTTAGAGTGTCCGCTCAGTGGCTGAACGCATGAACCAGCCCAATCAGTGATCGGACGCCCTGGATTTACTACAGAATCTGTGCTAGCATGGCTAATGCTAATGTACCAGATGTGGCTAACCGGCTAGCCTTTCGCTTCACATTCCAGTACTTGTAGTGTTGAGCAGAATACTTAAAAGTAAACGTTTTTATCGCCTTGAAAGTGAATATGTTCAAATACAAAGAAACTTTATGTATCCAGAATTAATTTGGGCTAATTTCCGAACTCTACGGGCGCGGACCAAACCAAAATCTCACTAATATTTACTAACTATGAATTTTTTTTATATACAACTTAAACATGTTATTTCTATTCCCTGATTTATATGTTTGGATGTTTTTACCTTGCCTCGGTATGACGGACACCAGAAACAAGACTTTTCTGTCGTTTTTAACGTATAGCTATGAGATTTTGGGGGTTTCTTTGGAATAAAGCCGTATCTGCAATAAGTAGATCTTTACAGAAAGACGATCGCTCGTTGATTGATCTTTTAATATTTAATGTTTTAAGGGTCGACAAACAGCTTGTGATTTCCCACTCGACCAGCACAGCCCAGTTGTATTGAACTGAGGGTTTGAGGAACAGATACATCGTGGGTTTGCAGAGGGTAAATGCTTGTTTTTCTATCTTTGCAATACTCTGAGTATCCACAGTGTTTTGTGTGTTCTGTGTGGAGTAGAGGTTTGTTAACTTGTCTTATTCGTGGCTTTTGCATGCAGGACTCAGTGGTAGCCGTTCTGAAATCCCTGTTTATATATATCTAGAACTACGATCAGAACATTCTGGTCTTTCCACAGTTTTGGTGCAGACTTCTCAAATTTCAGAGATGGATCCCGATGAGAATGACGGTTGTGGAAACTGAACCATAGGTTATTTCTAGGCCTTAAGACCTTTTATTTAAATGGTTGGAACTTTGGACCAATGATGTAACCGTACAGAACGTTTGGAGAGGCAATGGTCAGAACGAAAGGCCAGGGAGTCACACAGGGGACAAGAGACCACACTTTTATCAAAATGACTAAAGTCTTTTTTGCTACATCGACTTCATTGGCCATTCAACCTGAGAGGTTAGGAAAGAGGATGGGGAAATAAGGACACCTGAGGATCAAGAAAATACAGAATCATTTGCTGCTTGTATTGCCGTAAGATTATTAGAGCAGCGACGAAAGCTACATTCATTGATCTCCATTACTTCAATATGTGATAGGAGGCTACAAGCTGAATTGATAACACCTGGTCGTCTAGTAAGACGCAGATAATGTATGAGTAAACGTCATGTATGGTTCTTTACTGCGAAACAAACCAGATTGAACATGCACAATTTCACAAAAACACTACATTTGTTTTGGAGTTTTAGGTGTGAAGAGGTCTTTAAAAGTCTCTCAAACGTTCCGGAAACAGTCTGCGTCTCAAAGGAAATGATAAGCGTCAAATTGTTGATCAGTTTTAACAATAGCTGTGGCTAACTGGAGACGCAGGAACATACTTTGACGACATTGTTGCCGACAGAAACGTTTTTCATTCCGAAATCTTCGTATCGTCCAATAAGATTCAAGAGAACGGTTTGAACATTCTAGAACGTTGGCGGCACTTTGAACTATACGACAGGAACGTTTCTGGAGGGTTTTTAATGTATTCAGGTTTAATCAGAACATCAATAATGAACCCTTAAGGTTGCCTGATGGTGTATAAAATCACATTTTAATGTTCTGAAGAGTTCCTGTTCTGTCAGTTAGCGGTCAGTGTTGGTGATGATACAATCGCTCTAAAGTAGGACTTTTACAATGGCTATAACTGTTCCTCCATCATAGTGTGTTCATACGTATCAGATGTGTTCCTACAAGGCAGTGTTGAACAGTCTACTCTAACCAAGCACTTATAAAATAAGTTAGTTATTGTTAAAATCTCTTCAATAATTAAATTCCCTGGTTTCTGGAAACTTGATTGTCATTTTGGAGGGAAATATAAACCGTCAGTACTTTTACATTACAGATGAGTCCATTTGTGTCAGTTATACTGTAGGGGTGTAAAGGAAATGTTGAAGCATTGTTAAGATGGTCTGTCCTCATGTTTTGTTGGTCTGTTCAAACTACAAATGAAGACTGAAGAACTTACTAATATTTACACCAGTTGTTGGAATGGGTGTCAGTTTGGTGCTGCGTTAATATCGACTCCATTGTACATTAAACACTGAATTGTGTCAAAGATCGGACTATGATTAACATTTCTAAAACTTCCCGTATATTATATTGAATATTTATCATGTCGTCCATATTAGTAAATAAAAAAAGGTTAGGGTTTTTTCTATCCAGACAATATTTATTACGCCTGAGTTTATAACAAAAATCTATGCTAGCATGGCTAATGCTAATGTACCAGATGTGGCTAACCGGCTAGCCTTTCGCTTCACATTCCAGTACTTGTAGTGTTGAGCAGAATACTTAAAAGTAAACGTTTTTTATTGCCTGAAAACTGAATATGTTTAAACTCAAAGAAACGTTATTTATCCAGAGTTCATTTGGGTTTAAAGGATCAAATAAATGCAAATTTCCGGACTTTACGGGCGCGGACTAAACCAAAAATCTCACTAATATTTACTGCCAAGGAACATTTTTGAAAGATATAAAACTTAAACATGTTTCTCCCATTCCCATTTCAGAGTTTATACAGTACCATTTTGGTGTTTCAAAACGTACAATAACTTTTTGGTGTTTCAAAACGTACAATAACTTCTATTAGAGTAGGGGTATAGTACTCTGAACGTGTATTTTGAATACCTAACGAGTCGAGACATATTACCCAACAGCGATTAAATGAGTCCTTTGTCATTCTTAGTTGACAATAGTTTACAAAAGGATATTTATAATAGGAGGATGGGAACGTTTCCTCTTGATATCTTGACACAAATATAAATACTATTGAAACATACGATCTGTCTTCAGTCAATACACATCGAGTACCAAGGCAATAAATGAGGATCTAACAATAAAAAGGAAGAGATAAGACAATAAAAACGTGGACATCTCTTACATTTCTAAAGCACAAACTAACTTTACAATCTATCTTTCTGCCACGTCCTGCTTTTCTGGTTGTAAAAGTTGAGTTTTCTTGTGTTTTATTAGTCTTTGTTTACGTCTGAAACCTGATTTCTGAGTCCGCCTGTGGATCGTCTGTGAGCTGCATGCGACTGTACTTCTGCTAAAGATGGTTTTCCATAATAACAATCGGGGAGATGTGTGTCATGCTGGATGTTAACGGATGTTTACTCTTTATTTTCTATCGTTCAGTTATTTATTTTGTATGCTACAGTTGTATAGCACTCTTCTCCAAATGACAACGTGCTTTAAAACTTGAATTTTCTTGAATATTTTTAATTTATTTGTGGAAACAGAATTGTTTTGCTGCTCTTTTTATTTTGGTTTTTTTTCCCCGTCATACTGATTTGCCCTCTATGGCGACGTGTATTCTAACCTCAATGAGGGACTTGTACAGTGTTACGCTCCACTCCCCCTTTTCACCTTAAAGAGACTGCCTCACTTCAAATTCAGTCTCTAAAACTGACTAAAGAGGCAATTTTACAGCCTGTCCTCGAATGCATCACAGCTCCAAAGTGATATCTCTTCAACTGGGAAAGTCATGGACCAAAATGATCGCCCAATTTCCGAGTTGATCGGACTTTAGAGGCATTAACTGGAGTGTTTTCACCAATTTTCTAATGTTATCAGCCTATTAAATGAGCATTATGATTGGTTATCAGTCTAATAAAAGTCATATGGTGCCTGCTTTACAAACTGCTATGCTATACAATCAATTTACAGCTGCTACGGTGTAAAAGTGAAGCTTAGAATAACCTGTTTTAACAAGGAAAATCGAATGAAACGCAACGAAAACAAGTTGCTTCTTTAGGTTTCGGTAGGCGATAAATCTTGAACTTTTGGCCCTAAAACCACAACCTTTTTTAGGTTTAAAATGTCAACTTATTTTAGTATAGCCGAGAAAATCCTCTTTAGGTTCTAGGAAGATGGTAAATATTGAACTTCTTAAGGAAACAAACTAAAAGTATTGTTGTTTTATGCACAAAACTCCAACGTCTTTGATTTAGGCGACAAAGCTACGTCTTCTTTTAGAAACAAAAATCTAAACGACTGCAACTTCTTTAGGTTTGGGCCAAAATAAAACTTGTTTCGGAAATAATGATGATTTGGATTACAATCATTACGTGTGTTAAGTAAACTGAACATTGCAAACACAAACAAAACAACAATTAATCAGTTTGGCACGGAAATCTAGGAGCTGTGTTAAAACAATCAATGATAAAAACTACTGGTTGGTTTAGCCGGCTGATAACGCCTTTTTTTAATAGGCTGATAACATCGGTTCCAGTCTGGAATTAGGCTTTCCGATTATTCCGACCCCACCTTAATGCACCGCAGATAAAAACGTGTCCTTGGTCTGCGTTGAACTGTTTGCCTTGTGGCTTTTAAATTAGCCTTTTCAGCCTCTATGGTGTATTCTGGTGAGCTACATGTGTGTGTGTCTATGTGTGTGTGTGTGTGTGTGTGTGTGTGTGTGTGTGTGTGTGTGTGTGTGATGATACACACCGTGATGCCGTTTATTTATGTATTGTATGTATTTATTTATTTTTTCCTATGTCCTGTCTGTTGACGGTTGTTAATACATTGGTGTGAGACATGGAGGAGGGTTTTTAGGGTTATATAATGGGGGGTGGTTAATGGAAAAAGCTAGCTGTGATACTAACTAAGTGTTGCTCTCCTCGTATTGGACGCTGATATAATCTAAGACCACTGTATGTATAACTGCTTGTCGTGAAGATGATCTACGATGTTATGACAATAAAGAATTAACACTATGGTTAAAATCTGCTGTCCAATCTGTTTTTGAAATATTTTATTTTCTATAGTTTTTTGTGATTTTTTATATATTTTAATTCAGAACATTCTCATGTTTCTAAACTCATATGTCTAAATGTATTTATCAGAAGAAGAAAATGTATTCTACAGGTTGTACAAAGGTTTACAGATAAAACATATGCAATATAAAGACATATTAGTCCAATAAACTGTGTGTAAATGACACACAAAGAGATATATAACTGCCAATTTAAATATATAAATGATATATTAATATGTTAATTTGTTATAAATACTCTTCACAATTACAGAAGCTGTAAAAAATGGTAATAAATGTTTTATTTTCTTCTGTAATGACGCACGTGACCGCTAGTTGCGCTGTGGAGCTTTGTCCTCTCACTGTTGTTTCCCTCCTTTTACAAATCAACATGTGGAGGCATTCAAGTCCTTCTCAGAAACTCGGAATTTATAACATCAGTGCAGCAACATGTGACTTCTCGCGCTAAATTAACCCTTTTTGCAGACAGGAATAATAACAAATGTAACTGTACGACACATATACCGTTTAATTCTTATTTTTAATATAAAAAAACTAACTTTAAGACCGATTTAAGTGGAGGGATTATTATTATTATCTTAATATATGTATGAAATTAGCTTAAATATACACTTTAAAACACGTTGTGACAACTGTATGTATTCCCACCCTCTATTAAATGAAGCTTACTTTGTCAATATGTGAAAACATGGTTCATTTTATCAACTTGTTGCGTCGTAAATGTTGATTTCTGATATTTTCGAGGACAAATAAAAGAAGCGAGCCGAATGACCCACTTTTCAGATGCGCCACGCATTCACGTCAAGTTTCACAGAAAAGGGTCGAGAAGCACCGGAAGTACTTCCTTCAAAATAAAATATACTTTATTGGTCACAATTTGGGATATATATATTATTGTTTTGCTGCAGCACAGATAAGACATGTGTATATGTAAATAAACAACATGTATATATATATTCTCAGTGAAACATTCATATATTCAGAGGAGTATCTAAACATTATTAAACATACAGAATGAATTAAAACACTGTACTGTAAACATAGTGAACTATAAATGAATAAAACAAGGGTGTAAGTAGCTTCAATTGAATGCATTCCCTTTAAAAAGTGGTCTTTAATTGTTGTCTCTGTTTAGTGCGGGACGATTCCAGGAAATCTGACTCCTTCCGTTTTATTTTTTAAGGCCCAACCGGAAGTGCTGCTTGTTTTTACTCCATCAAGCTTCACGCTGGTTTCCGCGTGTTGATACTGAAGAGGATCCGAAGAGAAACAAGTTTTGTCGCATCGCTAGAGACCCAAACTCAGGCCAAAACCAGAGGAACATGGACATGAAGAAGAGGGTTTCCTTAGAGCTGCGGCACCGCTCGCCCACAGAAGTGAGTACCCGGAGAATGGTGCTGTTTTTCGGGTAGAGGTGTAAACTTTAACCGGTCCGAAAACAGGAGGGATGGCGAGCACATGGCAGGGAGTCTGCAGGGAAAAGTGCTCAAATGTGTATTTACTATGTGGTCCTGGGCTGCAAGCTGCACCAAAGTCTTCAAAACGATTTAATTGGCTGCTTTTTAAACATATTTAATTCTCTTTAAACACACTAGGTGAGCAGATGTTTACCGCCTTGTTTCTATTTCTACATTTCCACTCTTAATGTTCATATTTACACGTTAAATGTGCATGCATATCGTTAAACTGTGTTTTAAAACTGTGGAAGAAAGCGTTCATGCACCGCATAGTTTAACACTGAGAGGCACATCCGTGTGTCCCGGGTCCGTCTAATACCTGGAGCCGCATGATTTCAGAGTTATAACGCGGTGTTTATCTGCGTTGCATAACGTGGTGTTACACAATTTGAACACACAGCATTATTTATTCTTCTCTTTGTAATAACTTAAACCCCCATGTTGAAATGAAGTAGCCAAATACCTTAAATATATAATGTATTTAGACTGTTTCTTTTAATACTCGTGTTGAGCAGGAAATGCGTCATTGTTTTTCACACATACTGGAAACGCGGGTAAACACACCAACACATTATTTTATTAAAACTAAAACACATTTTAAAGTCACTCTTTAAAACGTTGAGTTATATAAGTGAGAGCTAAAAGATGTACGTTGTTGATATTGTCGCCTCTCCAGGGATTAGTCAGGGCCCTAGCGTGGGTTTCTAAAGAGAAATGGAAACTCCGTTCATTCCTACGAGAGTCGCTCAGTGTCGCATGAAGCCCAGAATATAGCCGCTGTAGATTGAGAAAGTAGCCGGATCATGCTTACAGCGCATGCGCACTTACATTTCCCTTAAGCCCCGCCTCCAATCTCCCGCTCTCTGTCAATCAAATTAATGGAGAGGTAAATGTGTTTGGATTCAGCTTTTAGAGCATTTTACAACTTTTAAAACCTAATGATTAAATCAAGGGGAATACAGGTGTTCGTGCTGGGTATTTTATTTAGCTTTAAAATATATAATACGCTGATTTACAGAAGTTTATTACCCCTGTGTAAGTGGATTGGTGAACGTCTTTTTTAGGCCAACATGACGTCACGGGAGTTGTAGTACCACCGTTTGGCCGCTACGCCCATTCATAAAAATCAGCTTCAACGGCCGGAGCTAACATGCTAAGGGCGCGTAGCTCTGCTAAAGAGGCTACTTTCATCCTGTTACTTCGCTATAATCACCTCCACTCTTCACTTAAAACACTCTCAATAAGCTAATGTCCTTAAACGGATGTAGTCTGACTCAGTTGTGATGAGATTAGATGGTTTAATAATGAAGAAAATTAGTTAGCAGAGAGCTAGCAGCTAGCCTAGTCACATGTGTGTGGAGTTTATCAACAGTGTGGGCCGGGGTGCGTCCCAACATGCAACTGAACATGAGTCCTTCACACACACAACAGTCACTTTAACTGGATATTAAACTGTTTAGTAATGTTTATACAACACAGTTTGTATTTATAAGGATGCTGAAACTTAAACATTAAGCAAAAAAGGGCTAAAATTAATGCTTTTGTGCAGATTTACTCGTGTTTTGTGTGCAGCAAGAGTCCTTTACACACACGACAGTGGAGGAAACAGTATTTAGCTTATTTAATTGAGTAAAAGTACTAAAACCACACTGTAAAGTATTTAAGTGTGATTGGGAAGACCGTAAAAAATAATATAAATATTTGAAGCAAAAGCTGCAAATCTTAAAATATAGAGAGCCGGATCTGTTTTAAACTATTCACTTCTTAGTAATGGCAATTATCTTTCTGCTACCCACTCATGGTTTGTGTCACTTAAATATAAGGTTGCACGGTTAAATATATAACAAATACTTATAATTTAAGAGTTTATCCAAAGTTTTGTGTTTAAAAATCTGAATTTCTGAAGTAAAATAGTCAAAATTGCTGCCAAAATGCAGTCGTGTAGAAGAATAAAGTGTAATGTGCCGAGTTACTTTCCACCTCTGCACAACAGTCCTATAAGTGGATATACAATGCTTTAATTATACTTATATATATATATCACAGTTTTTATTTATGGGGCTAAGCAAAAAAGTGCTAAAAATTACATGTTTTTGTAGATTTAACTAAAGAGTCCTTCCCACATCTAGTAATTTCTCATATACTGTGCTTAGCTTTTCATGTCAATAACAGTACATGTTTGTTACTTATAGATCACATGAAAAATTACTTGTGAAATCAGGATTATTTATTTTAAAAACAGTGAAAATAAAAGCATAATGTTTGTTTAACTCTGAGGTCTAAGCCCTGTTTGGCTCGCCTGTTTTTTTGGGGGGGAATGCTTTTAAAACGTGAACCCTGTGCTGCACGATCAAGTAATATACGTGTGTGTGTTTTCACAAGAAGCTAAGCTATCCGCAGATGTAGGCTAGAGGGATGTCTCATTACTGTAAAAATAGTTATGAGACCGTAAGTACAAAAGAAAAAACAAGACGGAAATGTTATCACTAGGAAATGTGTTGATGAAAATAATTATTTAAAGTCTTAGTGACCATGGGGAAAAAAGAAAATATGTTAAAGCACCAAAATCCATGTGTATGTCAAGAAGGTTAGTTGTGTTAGTCCATTTAAATCATAGGAACCACAAACTGTATTGTGCTCCTTGTAGCTTCTGATATTTGTTTGCTTATCAGACTACACTGAGTCTTTGAACGCATCGTGATACCGTTGTGATTTACCCGTCTTTTCTCTCTCCCTCAGGTCCAGGAGCTGGTTCTGGATAACTGTCGCTCCGGAGAGGGAAAGATCGAGGGAATCACGGAAGAGTTCTCGAACCTGGAGCTGCTGAGCCTCATCAACGTGGGCCTGACGAGCGTCGCAGACATCCCCAAACTGGACAAACTCAAAAAGGTGAGCCAATCAAACACAGCTCGAGTCTTTCAGAGCGGATTTTAAAGTGCTTTACGTCACCTGGGACCTTCAAACAAGGACACTCAGAGCCTCCCATTGGATCTCAGAACAGCAAACTCCATTGGAGATTTCAAAAGTAAATTAAAAACCTTTCTTTTTATTATTTAGCGATTTTCGTCTCTGAATGTTTTTAATGTCGAAAAAAGAGGATTTTTTTTAATCGAAGCGCCACAAGAACGTCATGTTTTCATGCGATGTCCTTTGTGAGACGAATGGATCAACGCTGTTTGCATTAAAGGACTTCTATGTGCCATCTCCAACAGTTTGTTTCCCTGAGCCTCCATCAGTAAATAGTAATAATAATACCTTAAAAAAAAAGCTTTTCCCAGTTCTTCTGAAAGCTTTTTCTTTTATGAATTGACTAATTGGTTTTAAATGTTGTCTGCACCCCAGCTGTTTTGTTTCTTTTTATGTTTACATCGAAAGCAGTAAACCCCAGAGTCATATCCTGTGTTTGTCTTCACACACTTAGTCAATAAAGCTGAGAGTCATTGCTCCTCTGCAGATCCCCCCGTGAAAGGTTAAAGTGATTCCAGAAACCAATATTTCTGTTCCTCAAGAACAGGACAATGACTCCAGAAATCTGAGTATCAAACGGAGCCGCAGAGACAGCGTTGTTCTTACGGAGCTCCAATGCATGTTGTTGTTGTTGTTTACGTCCGCGGAGACATCTTGCATACGAGCGTCATGTTGTTGAGAGAATTGATATATCTCATGAACAAGATCAGAGACACAGGCCGTTTCTCAATGTCGAGTAGAGCTGCTGCAGAGCCACTACTTCAAGTATACTGCGTCATCGAGAGGCGCCGAATACTGGGCATTCAAACAGTCCTTCGATGCTCGATGACGTAGTATACTTCGAATAGTGGCTCTGCAGCAGGTATACTCGAATGTGGTCGCTCTTTAGACGCCACATGCACCAAGGAAGAGATATATATTCACGGGATTTATCGAGTACGTTCTCTTATATTAGGTCTGAACCGTACTCTGTTAGACTGAAGAGCTTCCTAAACAAGATCAGCGCCACAGTATTCATACTATATCTTTCTACAAACACCCTGATGATGTGTTGTTTGTTTGTGTTCAGTGAGCAGTAAATAATAAGTGTTTGTTTGTGTTTAGTTGGAGCTGAGTGACAACAGGATATCAGGAGGCTTGGAGCTGCTGTCCGAGCGACTCGTGAACCTAACGCACCTGAACCTGAGCGGGAACAAGTTCAAAGACATCGGTACACTGGAGCCTCTGGTGGGTGGACTCTCTTTGACACACACCGTCATTCATGGTTATATTGAAGAGATTTCGTTTCAAATCAGTGCTAAAGTCTGTTGGGTTTCTTTGTCATATTAAAACGTGTCCAAGCGTCCACAATTGTTTTCTAGATAATGGAGAAAAACGCTCTCCACAGAACTAAGCTTTCCCAGTTTCACAGAATTCTTGTAAAATCATTAAAGGTCCCTGTGTAGTCATTCAAGGCTCCGTAGTTGCGTTAAGAAATGCAGAATTTAATGTTTTTGCCAGAATCTTTTTAATTTGTTTGGAGCTTTATTTATATAGCACCTTTCAGACAGAGTTACACGTAGAAACAGAACACATTGAAATACACAGAGAGTGAAATAAATAAAAAACAGGAACGTTTCAGGGTTTCATTTCCGTCCTGTGGCTTTACTTTTCCTTGTAATTAAATAGTCTAATATTCACCGAATTGTATTAACTTCACTGTTTGTCTCAGCGGAGTCACTCATGGCTCTACAGTTGCTCAGAGAAGTGCAGAATTTAATGTTTTTTACAGAATATGACCAGAACAAACGTGTTATCATTGGCGACATTTTGAACAAGACAAGTACAATAAAACATTTTATGAGGACATTTCACTGTATTTTGTGATGCATTCAGGGACCGTCAGAAATGTAAAGCTTATTTAGATTTAATGTGCAATTAGGATATTTGTTTTTGAGCAGGTACACAACTGAACAAATATAAATATATATATATACAGCAGCATAAGGAAATAAAACTTTTTATGATCAGATTTCACTATCTTAGCCTTTTGTGATGCATTCAGGGACACTCGGAAATGTAAAGTTTATTTAGATGTATAGTCAAATGTGGATAGAAATACAAATATATATAAATAAAGCAGCATAAGGAAACGTACAGACACTTCATCCTGCCACCGACCATCATTTAAACACACGGTTGTTTTTGAATCAGATAATTAAGTTTAATAATAACGCTGTGTTTTCTTTCTATCTGCAGAAAAAGCTCCCGCAGCTGAAGAGCCTGGACCTGTTTAACTGCGAGGTCACGAACCTGGCGGACTACAGGGACTCCATCTTTAAGCTCCTCCCACAACTCACCTACCTGGACGGGTACGACATCGACGACTGCGAGGCGTCCGACTCCGACGGAGAAGTGGTCGACGAGGAGGATGAGGAAGGTTTGGGTAAAAAATAAATTCTTCATTTGAATTCCTGTGATTATTGGGCAGCTTTTTATATTTGGTTGTTTTCATTGTGCCCTACATAATATTTAATCAGATGTATTTGTAGATTATTGAACGTTTAATTTGACTTTTTATATTTATCGTTTTATAGAAAGTCGTGGCTTTTTTACTACGAAATATTTAATCTATTTCATAACATTTTAATGCATTGAATGCTTTGAATCTAAATCTGTGTAAAATATGCAATTAATCAATTTAATTAGTATTAAAGTGTGGTTTTCAGTCGGGTGTGACGAATATAATCAATACATTTTGAGGCTAATTCATTTCTATATATTATATTAATCTTGAGTAGTTTGTGGAAGTGAACTTAATTAACCTCATTTATGTGGATTTAATTCAGATTTCACCAGTTATTGAAATTGAATTCATTTGTATTTATATATATTATATTATAATTGAGCAGCTTCATTTAAAGTGGTCTCACAAAGGAATAAAAATGAGATTTATGAACAGATTTAGACGTCGCTCACACTTCCTGTTTGTGTCTCAGAGGGCGATTCGGAGGACTTTGATGAAGAGGAGGAGGAAGACGAAGAGGATGTCGTCGCCGCTGAGGAAGTAGACAGCGACGACGACAGCAACGAGGACGAGGTGAGGCTCAACGAGCTTTATTCCATATATTTAACATTTATCAGCGCTACTTTAATACTTTTATTTAAGTATGGTGTACCCGTTTGTGTTTACTGTTTTGATTCTGTGTGTGTTATGGGTGTGTGCCTTTTGACAATAATAAGGTGGTCTACTTTTTTTACTTAAATTTGCTTTAACGACGTAAATGAGAACTGATTTCTGAGCCTGGAGTAGGGATGCATATCGTTGACTTTTTTACGATACCGCTACCACTGAACGATACCGATACTCAACCGATACATATCGTGATACTTTGAAAATGTATCATCCCACAATTACTCCCATGAAGCGCTTTACGGTATAGTTAACATGTCAAATGAATATTAAATTCAATTGTGGGACTTCTTGGACCTTTTAGTAGGCTACTGAACAAACAATGAAAAATACATAACAAATATGAAGAAAACCGATTATGGAATATCTTTTCTAACACCCGCCATCAGGTGTGCCGCGTGAAGAGCACATCTTGTCAATGCAAACAGACCGTTATAGCACCGTTAGAATTAATGTTAAACCTGAGATTCGACTAGAGAACAAATAAATAATAGAATAAAGGTCATGAGATCTCGGCATTGCACAAACAAACAAATCTCATCTTTAAAATCAACACTTCACTGGTGAGAGAAAACAAATCCCATCACAGTTCATTTGTGGGACTTTTACCTTTCTAGTATTGAACAAACAATGAAAAATACATAAAATATGAAGAAAAACGATTATGCAATCTAATTTATAACACCCGCCAAAATATATATTTTTTTTTCTGAAAAAAAAAAAAATCTTTGAAAGTATCGAAACCGGATCTAATTTCGGTACGGTATACCGTAGCCACTGCATCCCTAGCCTGGAGTATTCTTTATAGTTATTTTAAATCTTTTTACTCTGACTTAATACTTACTTTACTACATATAGAGATGTGGTCTTTGTTCTATGACGATATTCCTAAAATAATAATAATAAAAAACGCTATAAATCAGCTTTTATCGCTAAATAGGTTCAGAGAAAACAAAGCATGTTAGCAAACATCTGTTTAATATTTATTTTTAAACAGATATTAAATGTAGCTTGCATTAAATACATAAAACACAGTTCATCTGAGAGTTTGAGGGGTTGAATCTGAATGTGGGGATTTACCCCGTGGCATTCTGGGATATGAAGTCTTTAACACCAAACTCTCTGCAGGACGGAGAGGTGAACGGAGACGTTGACAGCGAGGACGACGACGACGATGAAGATGATGACGATAGTGGTGGTGAGTAACTGAGGGGGCTTTAAAAACGCTTTAAGAAACTTTAAATGAGGGGGGGGCTTTTAACAGTGCATTATTTATTATGTAGGGCTGCAGTCGAATAGTCCATTTAGCTTAGGAACCTTCCTAACGTAGTGAAATGACCCGGAAGTCCCTCAGTGGCAGCCA